GGATGAAATCCACGCCATTAGCTTCTACTATAGTCCTGCACTGTGTTTTTCTTCCAGCTTCAGCAACCTCAAAACTTGAAGACTGCTGGTGCAATTCCAACTGAAGCTCACAAAGCGCCTTAGCCATGCTCAAAGTCCTAGGCCACCTGTAAAAGTCACAAAGGGATGAGGTATTGCAAAATCAGGAAGGTCCATTTTGAAAACCATAAACCAGCAAATGGATTTCAGTGACCAAATGAAGCCATGCCAAGGATGATTATTCAATGACTGATTAAGAACTATGCAGTACAGTGATAAGAGAAAGAGGCAAAGACGTGACATACTGACAGTTACAAAGGAGAATGCATTTGACCATATCCTCAAACAAAGTTGGGGATCTGAACACCCTCCCACTGAAACTGCTCACGCATTCTGCTTCTTCTCCTCCAACTGCTTCAACGATCTTTTGAAACTCGTTCACCTTCTTCTCCTCGTTGTCTGACAAACGCAGCATCCTTTTCACTTGATCCTGTGAGAAGATAATCCTACTCAAATCAATGCAATCAAACAAACACTAACAGAGACAGAGAGGATGGAAAGACAAGCCAAGCAGAAAAGACTCTTTGGTGGATTGGAAGGAGGGTTCAATGTCAATCATTAAGGAATTGGTAATAGTAATAGTTATTCCTTGTTTTCCCCATAAAACTAAAAGCAAAATTATCAATCTTAAAAGGAATGGGTATTCTTAGGCTCAAGTTTTGAATAGCCAACCATTACTTGAATGAATGGAGTTAGTAACAGAGAGGATTAATGCATCCATTCTGTTCTGTTATATGTATCAATGAGATCCCACAACACACACACAAACAGAGAAAATGCAAGTAAACAGAAAAGATAGCTCCTTGCTAATTAATTCATATTATTCCCCATGCATCCCTTAGTTTATAGTTCAAAATTAAGGGCTTAGCTACTTGCTAAAGAAACACTACCAGTACCAGGGAATATGAAATCGATAAGAAAACATACCAGAAGAGAGTGTTGGTGTTGGGGGGAGAGAGAGCGAGTTCCATAAACGCGAACATGGAGACAGCGGGGAGGATGCTGGGGTTGAGAGATTCTGACCATGAGAGAATGGTGGAGAAGACGCAGAGGGCGAGACAGGGAACGAGACACAGGATCCCACTGATTGGGGGGCATCATGAAGAGCCCGTGGCTGCATATTGCCTTCTCAAGATCGAATGTCTCTGCAGCGTCACCCAGTGGCAGCTCTATCAATACACTACCATTGCCATTGCCCATTTCACCAATCTCCTCCATTTCCATTTCCTACCATCCCATGCCTGCCCTATTCTTTCTATATTTGGAAAGTTTTTCCCGATAAGCCCACGGCCCGAACGAAGCTTGGATTTCGTTTTCAATACGAGGAGAGGAGGTAACACGGCCCAAAACTCAAAACTGATTTTTTATTTTCTTTTCTTTTCTTTTCTTTTCTGCTTGATATAGTTAAATTTTTAATTTTGTAAAATTTATTTAGATTGAAATGTTAGCTTTTAAGTATTTTAAATATTAAAAAGTAGTATTTTTCTATAATACTTATAAAATGAGAAAAAAAAATAATATATAAACAAGTTGAAAACAAAGTTACACTGTGCTTTAATTATTGGACTATAATTTGCTCTGCTTTACTGAAATATAATAATCTACATCTTTTAAAGAAGATAAATAAATAAAAGGGGAGATTGTAAATTAAAGGAAAA